CAGTTTATTTTAGTTATTTAAATTATAGCCAATCATAGTATTATACTCTTACATGTGTAAGTTGCAAATGTCTGTATTTATACTATTTAGTACATAATAATATACGTTTAATACTTATAACATGTTATATATACATATTAATATTATGTGTCTAATGCAGTAATGGTGTATTATACATTTATACGTATTTTATTTGTATGTATAATACTATATTATATTTTTATTATTCTACTTATATAATACACGCATTGGAGCATGCGCTACGAACAATAAAATATATCGTGCCGTCTGCTAATATTTATAATGAAATTACAATGTTGCCAAGAGTTTTCGGCGACCTACAAATATTTTCAAAGTAACCTTGCCTACGGCCTGAAGCGGTGAAGGGTACTGCGGCAACGTCGCTATAGCAGGTGTCGTGTTTTTAGTATATGGCGCTGAACTAACGAATTCATAAATGAATAAGACTAGGAGAAACCGTTTCTCTCAAGTTTTACAAGTTATAATGGACCAACGTGGACGTTTTTTAGTATCTCACTGACTGAACACGACTGGAAATGTTAAACACTTTAACTTCGAAGGTTTTATTACGATTAAAAAACGCATAATGTCATGGTAAAGATCATATTATAAAGACATGCTTTTAAATTATAATATGTGTAAAACAAGTAGCTTAGGGAAAATAGCTTAATAAATCGTTTGAGATTCTGCCTCAAAACTTTCATTGTACCTACATTTCCGTTATACAGGATTGGCAGAATAAACTACTAAAGGCTGTTGTCATTTTTTTCAAGCCATTTAACTATAACTTATAACAATGCAATATTATATTTTCAAACAAACCTAATGTAATTTAAAAAAAACAAACCATATTAATTAAAATAATAATATTAATATTTATTTTGAACAGTCTTTGGTAATTCAATATCAACAATATTAACATTATGAAAAAATTGTTAATTTAGGTGGGTATGTATTTTTATGATTTGGAATAATAACAACTGTACTAAATACAACATCCATCATGAACTTATTATGTTTAGGTAGGTTACTTATTAAACTATATTTCTTTTGTTACAATAAAAAAATTAATAAAACTCCTAATGTATACCTAACTACGTACAACCTACCTTTATTACATTAAGAACTAAACGCATTTAACCAGTGGAAGACTAAAATACTCAAATACGAGTTATAAGTAAGGTATTTATAACGGGATGTTTTGTTTAGCTTATTTGAAAAAAGAAACGTTATTAAAATATTTTTGATAACATTTTATATAAGTATTGATTTTTTTATTATATCTCACGTATTCACGTACAATTCCAAATTGGTTAAGAGGACGCTATAACACACTATTATACACCCGCATATGTTGTCTCCGTTGTACAAGTGCGTAGCATAACAAATTTTACGTTCAACACATCACGTTTAGCTCCATTAGTTTAAAATTTAGAGTAAAATTACCTCTTACAAAAATTAAAGGTAACATTATTATCGAGAGCACCTGGTAGGCTTTTTATTATATTTTAATTTTAAAGTGAGTTATGTGTATTTTAAAATTATAAATTGTTTGTATATCTTAAAATACTCATAACTCACTTTAAAATAAAAATATAATAAAAGTCCTATGAGATGTGCTCGATAATAATGTTACCTTTAATTTTTGTGAAAGGTCATTTTACTCTTAATTTTAAACTAACGGAGCTAAAYGTGATCTGCTGAGCATACAATTTGTTATGTTACGCACTTGTAAGACGAAGACAAGTGACAACGTCATATGCGGGTGTAGCGTCCTCTTAAGATTTATATATATAATTTTTTTAAATCTTGCTTTATAAACAGTAAGCATCAATTAATGAATTTATTATTTAAGTTTTTATATATTATATTTTTATATTATTAGGTATCGTGTCATTATTATAATTGTTAATCAAATAGTATGCTTTTAATATTCTACGAAAATAAAATATATTAATATTATACTGCATAAATATTTCAAAAAACGAATATTAGAAGTTCAACATAAAACAATATTAGTTTAACTACTATTTTGTTTACTAACATTTATTCATGCATTATGGTTAATGGTTATTATAATATTGTGACTTGAGTATTTGTATACAGTATTATACATAGGTACATATTAAAAACGCGAATCAATTGCTATTATTTAAAGTTTTAAATTTTTATATAATATGATTATATTTATACTACGTTACATCATTACAACATTGTTTATAATAAATACTTTCAATTTTCAATAAAATTGTATTCCTTATGATATTTACATTAAATTGTTAAACATCATAAAGGCCACATTATGTCCATATTATGTCTTATAGCGTTATAGCTGAATAAACAACATATTTAAGAAATAATCAATAATACGGTGGTAGATAGTTCAAATGTTCGAATACTCTTTATTGTTAATATGAAGTTAGATACTATTAACATTAAATAATATTAACTAGTCAGTAAATATGAAAATTATAGGCAATAAAATCATATTTCTAGTTTAATTGACAATTTTGTTAATCAGCAGTATGCCAGTATAAATGTATAGTACCTACTATAGTATACAATATACTGTATAGTGTATGACGTATACTTCTTTAGACTGTTCATATTTTAAATRAACTGGAACGATTTTGGTATATCAAAAATAATGAAATCAAAATCAATTGATTCATATTATGATTATATTCAAATTGTCTTGTTATAGAGTAACTGTATAATATACCAAAGAAGTTTTGGTGGAACGGTGCCTGGTAGGAGTTTTATAACGAGTTATTAAATAAGTTAAACGAAAAATAATTTATTGCTTTATTTTTGCGTTTGGCTATAATAATATGTGATTGTCGGCTATAGTGTTGTACTGTTTAGTAGGTGCTAGATACTATAGATACCCATGTGTTAAAGAATTGTTATTAAGAAATTGTTTTTCGTTAATTTGCATAAATGTGAATGATTATAATGATTACTCCGCACAAGGAATTTACGTATTACACATTTGATAGTGATATTATGATATATTATTGTGAAAAAAAACGTGGTTAGATAAAATACTCCCATTATATGCGTCATAAAAGAACGTTGGTCGTTGAGAGGACTGATGATGAGGCACGACATAATTTGTTTTATCTAATTGTATCAATGTTTACACATAACGAAGTGTACTATATAGTGTAGTAGTGTACACTGTACATAATATATCGATATATTGGACTCCGTACAACGAATACACATAATAATAATTAATATTATAATTGAAATTGTACATWTGYACATATTATAATATTATGTACATTGTACATTTGAACACAAAAACAATGGTTTTCTTGTATGTTTTTCATCACGTTCTCAAACAATATCCTGTCATCTTTAACGCTTTGTCAATTGATGTTAAAAAAAGTATAAAATTAATATAAAAAAATGTATAAAAAATGTTCTATTTACTGAACTAAGGCAGTGTTTATTATAATAAGAAAATGTATACTTATCGTATCTAGTCTTTATATTAATTTTACWGTGTTTGTTAGTAGTTTTTTATTTTATTTAAATAATTAAATGAAATCTCATTTTGTTGTACTGTTACTCCCTACACCACCACAAGCTTATAGCTTAAAAATGTAGGTAATATTTTTATTATTTCTTTAATACTCTGTTTGTATTGTGTTTTTCAATTAATAAAAAAAAAAAAATTACAAATTCAATTCAATTCAATAAATCGATATATCGAATGTACTCGTCTCGTCGGTGGTATTTTAAGATTCTTTCATGTCAGTGGAGGGGAGTTAAACCTTAAACATATTTATTATTATGCATTATACTATTATGAAATGTGTACACTAAATACTATGTATAWAAAGATTTTTTAYTTTTTTATAAAACAATTTCCTCTACGATTTTCGGGCATAGAATTTTTTAGTCTACGAGGGGTCCGAGTGAATGAGCATGATCCTTCTTAGATCCTTCCCCCTCCCGCAATGATCCGCCGCTAATAATTAAATGATGATAAGTTTGCCAACACATCATATAAAATCATTATACGACATTTTATGGAAATACATGCTATACAAGTAATGATCCAACTTCCAACTGTATCACTAATATAATAATATAAATAAGATGTACAGCTATAAAAGTCTACACTATCCACGTTTTTAACAAAATAACAAAATATTACTACRAGTGTTTCAGTATTATCGCACGATAATATTATAATATACGCATAGATCTTTTAGTATAAGGTCTATGAATATACGTCGTATTGATCGTCGATGGTGATATAAAGATATAATATTATGGGCCGATTGATACAAATATACAATCATAGATAACATATGCTTCGATGAGAATATATTCTCGTACGGAACTGCTCTTATTTATAGTTTACAGAACGCGGAAACGTTATTGCAGTGTACGACATTACGTATTTAATCATCGCGTATTTCATGTAATATATATAAATATGATAATAAAAATAATATAATAAATTAATAACATATACGTCTGGCGTACGTGAACATGTGTGTGTGTGTGTCTTTATATATTTATGTCATATACATACACAGTACACACACACTACTACACTAGTATACTTTGACATGCCGAATTTTATTATTGTTATTGTGAAAAGTGAGGACGTCGTCGGTTCAGGTCGGGCCGGGTCGCAGTCGCGAATCGCGTGACGTTAGYTTTATTTTCCTCTGTTCTTCTCTCCCGGTTTTTAACGTGAGGCTTTGTTACGCGGACGCCATAATTACCGTACAGTCAGGCCACACTGTGAGCTCGGCAAATCCATCGTGTTTTGTTTGGTCTGCGATGGCGCTATCGAGGGGCCCCCCTCACCTCGGATCAGGTAACCGCCCGTCTACAAAACGCAGCGGACGCCGCGGGATTGACCGAGGTACTCTACCTCACTCGAAGCGGCCGATTGGATTTGCCCGAACCTGTTTGGARCCGTGCGGTTGATGTCAAGCGAGCGCGACGGYCGTGTCCCCAGCGGAGAAGTTTTTTTTTTTTTTCCCGTAGGCGGAACACGAAGATAAATAATAAACAGCCGAAATGAGGAAGAAAAAATTTTAAAATTTCCTTCTCGCGTTACGTTTTTTCTCGAAACTCGACGATCGTTCGCAGTGTAGTCAGTGTACCCCCGCGGCGCGTCCGCGACCCGATACCATACCRTCGTGTCTCGTGTGCCGTCTGTCCGACCGACAGACAGACAGACCGACCGACCGTATWTTTTCAAAGTGTGGTAATCTTTATCGTCCATCGCGTATCGCGTGCGACGTGCACGGAGGAGTTGTGACGACGATGTACGACGCGTGGTCGTACGGATAACGACAACAACAGGAACAACTACAACAACAACAACAATAATAATAATAATAATAAGAAAATTAAAAAACAGTGCAGATGTGTCGGTTGGAAATCTTCGGTACTTCGTCGTTGTTATCCGAAATATTCGACACCCGGATCTGATGTTGAGGATTTAAATCGCTGGGAAAAAATATACAAAAGTAATTATCGGTGCTAGTTTTTACGTATTTACACGGCCACACTTACGTACGCCTATTTTTGCTTAATTAATATTTGCGCATTATTTATTTTTATTACTATCGGTTTTGGTCATAGACGTTGATATTTTTTCCTCACGTGGTCCGTCCATTATGACCTAATAAATTATATTATGATCAGTCTATGTTTTACGTCAGCAGGTTCCWAAACTTACGACAAAGCACCCTTTTGAAATAGATTTTATTTTGTGGATCTCTAATGTCTCTTCCTACTCAACCCCAATTTTTTAATTATTAATTGAAAAACCAACACCTAAAAATGTTTTAAAGATACCTAGGTAGGTATTGTTCGTGATTTTTATTTATTCAAATTTATTAAAATAATGAATGTTTATTATTTAAGTACCTACCTACTATTATTTTTTTCTTCAAGTTTAATATAAAATAATTTTCTCATTCTTACATTCTTTATGTCCAAACCCTTGAGAATGTCCCACTGTATGAATCTAGGTTAGGTAAATTTTTTTTTTAGTAAAAAAATATTTTTTTGACCAAAAAAAAATTAGAATATTCCATGGTACATACTTTGGCAATCGTTCTACATAGGTGTTTGAATTTTGAACATAAAACGCAGAGCAAAAAAATAAAAACTACTCAATTTTCATTCTGTTGTGATTTACTGTTTCTCTTTTCAAYCTCACCGCACTGTTGATGCACCTATATTATCCAAACTAAACCAAATAATGTTGATGCATAAATATAACCATAGAGTGTGACCAGCTTAAATTTTGTTTATTGTCATGCTGTTTTTGAATTTTGGGTACCTAGTAAATGTCAGGAATTAGAATATTGTGTCTCAAATGACGTGTTGTTWGTGAAAATGTAAAAGGTGACGRCAGATGTGTTATACAACAGTAATTTAGAACAAAGTAATTACTTACTATTCACTACTCAGACGGAATTTATCATTATTGTTTTACTAGTTTTTAAATATGTTCACATATTATGTATGATATTTATAATTATATCATGGATTTTAATAATTTATCTAAAGTATTTTGATTTTAGATAGGTGTAGAGTACATATCTGTAGGTACCATTAATATTTATATAACAAAATATTTTTGTATATTATAAATTATAATGCTTGGTCTACGAGGGTGTATAATCTTTAAATATTTAGATTACAATCAAAATCTTGTTTTGAAATAATTTTGTGTTTATCTTTGTATTTAAAATATTTAAAATTAATATTGCAAAACAGCAACTTTTAATTCATAAATATTTGGATCTATTTTTTCTTTTGTTCTATTTACATTTTGAATTTTAAATACTGCAATTGGATACCTCTAATTATTTATTTATATTTCATTGAAAGTGAATTTTCATCAAGAGGACACCATACCTGTATGTGTTGTCTCCGTTGTACAAGTGCGTAGCATAACAAATTTTACGTTCAGCACATCACGTATATCTCCGTTTGTTTAAAATTTAGAGTTAATTGACCTATTATAAAAATTAAAGATAAGATTATTATTTAGGGCATCTCTTGGGATTTTTATTATATTTYAATTTTAAAGCGAGTTATGAACATTTTAAAATTGTAAATTGTTTACATATCTAAAAATATTCATAATTCACTTTAAAATTAAAATATAATAAAAAGCCCATGAGATGCCCTAAATAATAATCTTATCTTTAATTTTTATAATAGGTYAATTMACTCTAAATTTTAAACAAACGGAGATATACGTGATGTGCTGAACGTAAAATTTGTCATGCTACGCACTTGTACAACGGAGACAACACATGCAGGTGTGGCGTCCTCTTAATGTTTAAAGCTATGACCTGTTATAACATTAATTATTCATTAGTATAATAGGTATCTGATACCTATAGATAATATATTATGTACCATTAAACATCCCTCAGAAATCAGTATATTGATTATAATTTAATAATTAAATGATACAAATAACAAGTTTATATTGTTTTTTTTAATTGGATTTAAATCCTCATTCTTGCTTTTACTCATTTCTGTTAGTTTTTTTTATTTATTRTGTAAAAATAATTATCTGTAGTTAAAAATCTGTTTTATTGTCATCATAATTCAAACTTAATAAATGTAGGCATGGCGGCATGCCTATTTATTTTCATCCAAATTTTTATCACTTTAATCTAAGCCAGGTTGGTGGTAGGATTTTTCATATGAGTAGCTCAAAGATTCTCTAAAATATCTAAATACCTATCACTTAATTTGTAGTCCTTTTGTATTTTGATAAAAATTATTGATAGAAAATGTACCTAATTTGTTGCTTAAYAATTATTTCATTAAATTTATACAAACTTTTTAACTGTAAAGTTATGTAGAATAATATGCCTTGAATTGATTTAAAACTATTTATTTTTATTATAATTATTTATCTTCATCATCAAACATATTTATGAATTTGTTATATAATATATATTTATTAGATTGTTTATAAATGTTAACTATAATCATAACTGTATAATAAACCTAAAAATTGATAAAATAGTTAATATTTCAACTTTGCCTGTATTTAGTAAAATGATTGTAAAGTAGTATTATACATAGATTATAATCTTAACACTAAAAAGAGCATTGTTTTAGTTAGTGGTGTACTTTGCTTATTGCAGACAATTTTTTTATTCATTTTGTATTTTTAAAATACTAAGCTCTAATAATTAGAGTAAAAACTAGAATTAAAATGTATGCAGTTGTAAACGATTGAATAAATTGGCAAACATTTATTCATAGACCTTTTAATTACTTATTTATTTTTTTTAACTGTGGTATACTTATGTTATCCTTGTGTGACAATGTAGTYTTTATTTCTTTCTTATTAAGTTATAATGATATTTAAAACATCAATGTCACTAGATTTACCTTTACATAAATACATAATTTTATCTAATATTAATTTATATTTTACATCACAATTTTAACAGTTAATGTATGAAAAAATTAATTATATTCATTATTATCAATATAAATATATTTTTACTTGGCTTTGTAAAAAAATARTATTGCACAACTTTTTTAAATTGTGCATGATTTTTTGATGAACTTGAAATATTTTAACATGAAAACATTAGTTTTGTATACCTAGTATTAGGTTTGCATACCTATTACTTCAATGATTTATTTTTTGTCTTGGACATACAATGTAATACATTAGTTGAATCAAATTGTTATTGATTAGAAGTTAACTGTAATTTTTATAAAGACTAATTTATAATGAAGATAAAAACCCATATAAGAAATGTACCTATTAATGGGGGGGGGTTTTTTTTTTTAATTGGCCTTATATTTAATGTGTAACTTGAGATTTTAGTGTTAAATTTGTGAATCTATTTTTATTTTTTAGTAGTATCTATTTTTTGATAAGTTGCAATTTACAAAAGTTATAAATTATTTTTTATTTAGGTAGACATCAATACATTATAATACAAAAGGTATGAAATGTTAAATATTATATCTTAATCCAGATAGAAACATTCTTAATATTGTTTAATTTATATTAAATTAAAAAGAAAATAACAAGATTATAAAGTTTTTATAGTTAATCTTATTTTACATCTTAATAAACTTTATTTATAGATATGMTTTTTTTCATAAGTTTCATTCTTTTGTTTGATTTTATGTAAAGAGACTGTCTACAGTGGCTGTTAACTAATTGATTGTATCGATAAATAAATTAGAAGATAACAGCCTTTATTTGATTTTTAGTGGCAAACAAAGAGATTTGGTTCAGTTAAAACTGTTATGGAAGCTGTACAACAAACAGTTATACATCTGGATCGTGCTGCAATGCCTTCACAAGCTCAAATGGCTTATCCTCAAAGAAATCCTCAAATTCACGGGTAAGTGTTAATGATATAAAAGTGTATTTTAATATTCTTTTTTAGAAGTTAATTTATAAAATAAAGTAATAAACCGTGGTGGCATAAACTTTTTTTCCCTATAAAGCAACTACARTAAATAAGTAACCAACCACCAATTTTTTCAAACTTTACACTCCTCTTTTTCACATATTTTAAACTAAAGTTGTATATGGACTGTGTGAGTTTAAATTATAAATTAATCCAGCCATCTAGATTCAGGAAACTGGAGTTTTTGGGAATTTGGGATACCCATCTCCACTTTTTGTTTGAGGTTGCCGCCTAAAAATAAATATCTTAAGTACAATTTTATTTAGATAAACTCGAGGATAAACTATTATATTTGTTTTTTATGTTAAATACAAGTATACACAAAGAATAATATTTAAATTTAACCCTTTTTATGTTGGTATTGTCTAATATTTACTGTGAATAAAAGTTAACCAAATATGCAACTTCATGATTATAACGTATAGTATCCATCTTGTAAATTTTATTATCTTTGTGACTAGGATGTTCTAAATAATATTCATGAAATTATTGGTTATAAATTGTATCAAAAGATTTATAAGTTTCATTAGCTATCAAAACTAATTCCAGTTACCCAACACTTCATATTCTAATAAGTTAATTATTTAGATAAAATTAATCTTTAAAGAGGCTCTTAAACAATATACAGCTATTGCTTTTGTTATATACCTATATTAGATAGATATATTTGATGATAGAAAAATATTAAATCTAGTATTTATAATTGCATTAAGGTTTATTAAATTAATGATTTGTTTATTTATTATGAATCCCTATAGTATTTGGTGGTTTATTGAGTTAAATTATCAATTTTCTTTTCAGGAGAAATGTTAATCATGGTGTAGTTCAAGTACCAGGTGAAAATGGGCCATACAAGCCCTCTGCTGGTACTGGCCAAGTTCATAATAATTTTGTTGGGTACCCTGCCAATATACGATATGTTTCTCAACCTGTGTACATGTCGTCTACAACTACAGCATCAAATGTGTATAGAGATGCGCCTTTTCATTCTAGAGCATTAAATGTAAGTTTTTGAACAACAATATTTAAATTAATTTTTTATCTATAGGTACTATTTTGGTGGATTTTCATTAGTTAAACTATAAAATTTAATTAAATAATTTAGATGTTTTATTATTTAAAAAATGTAATTTAAACTGATAGTGTTTTCATAAATAATACACTTTTGATATTTTTTTTTTAGATATCTGATAGAGGAGTTACAATTGGTGTTCCTTTTGAATTAGCCAGAAGCGATATGATGCCTACCGTTGCTAGGCAAAATCGTATATCTTTGCTGTCTGCAACAAGTGATTATTATCAACGAAGTCGTATGCAGTAAGTTTGAATAAGATATACCATGTGTTCACCTATTGCGGGAACACTGAATTTCTCGGCCGGATTGGTGTTGGAATAAATTTAATTTTTTTACAAGCTAGTGGTATATAAATACACATTTTCAGA